AAACCAGACTCTTCATAGATGTGATGCTGTGACCTCAGAGACGGATGTGTTCACCTCACACACTCTTTAGTGTGAACTGAACACTGACAGTTCAGATTGTGAAGCAGTTGTCAGTGTAGTACAGCTCATGTACTTAAGTTTTATTCACAACTTCATCGTTGCCATTGAAAATGTGTTTAATAAATAAACCTGTGATTAAATTGTACTGAATGTTTGTTCATATTTACCATCTGCCTCATGATGAATCTAACAGTCACTTTGGTGAATCAGTGTTTTCACTGTAGAGATGTAAAATAATACTTCATAGCTCAGTGAGGACNAACGTCACCTTCAATAACATTACAAGTGACTCCTCACATGATATTTGCAATTAGCCTGTAAGACTAATGTACCAGTTGTGACAGCTAACAGTGTTAGCAGCATCTTAAATCAATCTTAAATAAAACAGTCATTTGTCTTTACAAAAATGGGAAATAAATGTCATTATAATTATTGGCATAATGCTTCAAATAGAAGTAGTTTTTTTTTTACAGTGCAGGTAACTGCTGCTCTGTGCTGCTGATTGGCCGGGGGCGGTAAGAGAACAATACAGACAAGTGTGTGTGTGTGTGTGTGTGTGTGNGTGTGTGTGTGTGTGTGTGTGTGTGTGTGTGTGTGTGTGTGTGTGTGTGTGTGTGTGTGTCGAAGCAACTGTCAGTCCCTCAGAAATGTAGAGATGAGAACAGTGTGAGTAGCTTTACAGACTGGGGAAAGTCCACTTCACCGAGCGGACCCGGAGGACCCGGAGGACCCGGAGGACCCGGCTGATTTCGGGTTTACAGACTGGACAACAACTGACACTGAAGAAAACCTATGAGAGAAGTTCTGCAGCTTCTCTTCTTGTGGTGGTTTATTCAGGATCATCGGAGATCAGGAGGTAAAGTCTCAGATCCGCATGTGGTTCAGGTCTGTGACTTCAGGTCTGACTCAGATCTGATCCACCGTGGGGAAGGGAGGACTGGTCAGTTATCAGGTTGTTGCAGGCTCGGTCCAGACTCGGTCCACACTCACGATGGACGGAGAGATTCCTACAGTTTATAGAAATGATTAATCTGATTAACAAAAGCGAGATTAATTCATTAATAACGGAAGTGACGTCAGATACTGTAGACCATAGTGACTGCCAGAGAGTCTCGTGAACCCAGAGTGAGATGATCCAGGTGAAAACCAGCTTCAGGTTGTCCATGACCAGCCCAGTGTGTGTGTGTGTGTGTGTGTGTGTGTGTGTGTGTGTGGTGTGGGGCGTGGGACAACTGCTCTTTCTCTGATAGGATTCAGGTGATTGGAGGATTTTGAGTGTGTGTGTGAGTGTGTGCAACTCAGTACACACCTGGTTAGCATGTGCCTGGACCGGTCACTCCTTACATAACCACATATCCACACACACACACGCACACACACACAGTGACAGTACATTAATCAACAGAAGCTGTAATCTGTGGTTAAACTATTAAAAAGGAACAACAGACAACACACCATCAACATCCATCAATAAACGAGGTGAAAGTGAAACTGAGTCGACAGGTGTGAGAACATGGCTTGTGAGGACAGTAACATCAGCTGATCTGGATGAACGGGCTGTCAGTGG